GGTCAGAGGGGTTTGCCTCTGCTTCTCATCAGAGAGGGGGGGCTGCACGGGCGTGTGGCAGGGCCGGCTGCATGCCCTTCCCCGGGCTGTGCCCCAGGGCCGTGGGGGGAGAAGGCACCTCCTGGCCAACACAGTCTCCCAGAGCGTGCGCCAGTCCGTAACAGGTGGCCCAGGGTGTCGCCCCCTCCAGAGAATGCCCGGGGGACCGTGGCCAAGTGGGAGAAAGACCCTCGTTGCTGTGTCCTGCGACCCTGGGCTGTGGGGCGGGGGGGCCGCTTACGCCCTCTTGCCTACAGAGCTTTAGGTCCAGGAGACCCAGGGATCGGTCCCGGGAAGTCGCCTGTCACCGGAACTTCAATGTCTTTTCCTTGAGTCCACCTGCTGGCCCCAGAGCAGGCACAGGTGGGAGTTAGTGGAATGGAAAGAAAAAAACTAGTTTAATATCGACCGAATTGGCCAATACGGAGATGGAGAACTTACTGTGCTCTAAAAAAAACCCAACTCCCAACGGCGTGTGGGTTCGGGGTCACATCAGGCAAAATCACAAGACACCTGTGCATTCGGGGTCCGGGATTTGGGGTTCGGGGTCATGCCGGGAGCTGATTGCCTGGAGGTCGGATAAGGATAATGAATCATTTCTTCGGGTCTTGTGGATGGTTCGGAGGCCTCTCCTGGCGTCTCCCTGTCGGGTCACGTGGGAACAGAGTGGGGGCATCCTTCTACCTTCCGGCCCAGGAGCCAAAATGGAGCAGAGGTCAAAGGTTATCGTCAGAGGTTGGACCGTGTGACCCCTGCCCAGGCTCCGGTGTCCTGCCGCCTCCGGGGCTGCTGGCCGTCCAGGGGCACAGAAACGATTTCCAGATTTAAAACTAAATGTAATCGAAGTCGTAGGGACCCTCAGTTTCCCGCGGAACCAGCCTGGTCCGTGTTTGGGTACAGGAGAGTTCGCGTTCACCCTTCTGGTCTGCGGGCAGTCTTCAACCGCGCAGGCCCGCTGTGCCAGGCCGGCGGCCTCCTTGCCTAGTGGGGGCGGGGGGGCGGCGTCCGACGAGTTACTCAGCCTGCCTCAGTTTCAGTTTCCTCGTGTGTGTGGTGGGCGCGGTGCCCACTTCACAGAGTGGTTGGTGGGGGGGGAATGAGGTCGTTTGTGCAGAGGCAGTGGCTGGACAGCGCCCAGGACACCTGCCGCTGCAGTGCCTGGTGCATCGCCCGGCTCCTTCTGGGGGGGACAAGGGGGGAGGCCAAGCCTGCACGGGTGCTGGGAAGGCCAGACGCAGAATGCGAATGCAGGTGTGTGCGGGACACCTCCTGTCCACCGCAGCTCCACCCAATGCCCTTCCTCGCCCAAGGTCGCTGCGCCTTCTGCCCGCCCCTCAGCCTCCCACTGCTGGTGGCGGTGACAGCCTCCCTCCCATCCTGTGGAGCCAGGACCTTCCTTCTCGTCCTCTTCCAGAAAGGGAAGCGGGGGCCGCGGTCGTCACCATTGCCCTGCCCCGCTCGCCAGAGCCCTCAGAACACCCTGCCTAGGACGGGCGCTCACGCCCAGTCTGTCGTCTGGAACTCCCCGGGCTCAGACCCGAGGTCCCACAGTGCTCACAGCTTCTGTTTGGCCGTTTGGTCGTGAAAGCATCTCACCAGCCAGGGGTCAGGCCCGACTGCCGCGTGCACAGCCGAGTGCCTGGAGTCTCTCTCCAGCTCAGCGGCCTCCCCCAGGTGCCCGACCTCTGCAGCCCCTCCGCTGAGCTCCAGCGCCAGGCGACCACAGACAGGAAGTCGACGGCAAGGTTGCTGGAGCTCTTGCAGCTCTGCGATCTGGAGACTGTTCTGACCGAGGAGCAGTGACGACCTTCTCGTGACTCCCCAGCCCGTGCAGACTCAAGCTCCACCTCCCCGCCCCCCGGGCCCACAGGGGCCCCATGCTCGGGCCACCGCCCCCTCGCCTCCTGGCCGGCTCCTCTCGCTCACCCGGATCACCCAGCTCTCTGCCCGCGGGGCGCCTTGCTTTTCTGAAAACACATTGACACTCCCTCTGCCTGGAAACTCTCCCCCAAGCGTCCCCAGGGCTCCCCGCTCCCCCCAGGTCCCTGTTCCCACATCAGCTCGTCGGAGAGGCCTTCCCAGCAGGCGGCCTGTCTGAGGCAGCCCCAGCTCCCCTGCACTTTGGAATTCTCGTGGGGCTGGGGCCCGCTTCTCCTCCACTCTCCGTGCGTCTGCGTGGAAGGACACCAGCCCGACCCTCTCTCTCTTGGCCAGTCTCCCTACCAGTCACTCCCTAGGTGCTCCGGGACAAGTGTCTGGTCGATGAGTTTGGGCAAAGACACTGAGTGGGCTCAGCGCAGCCCCCTTCCCTGGGGAGCTGGTGCATCTGCAGAGGGCGTCTTCCTCTGCTCCTCCCCACCCCCACCGGCACCCGCACCTGCACCCCCACCCCCATAGGCGGGGGGAAGGAGAGGAGGCCTGAGGCGGTGCAGCTGCTGGCACCGGCCAGCCCACAGCTAAAGCATTAACGGGCTATGTCCAACATTTCCAGTTACAGATTTAAATATCTGTTCGGCTCCTCTGCGGGTCTGTCAATTGGTTACAGATTCAGATGTGTTTCTTTCTTCTACTTCTGCATAACAAATCACCCCAAACGCGGTAGCTTAAATTGACAATTTACTATTTCTCATGGGTCTGGGGGTTGACCAGATGGTTCTCTTTGCTCCGCGGGTTGTCAGCCAGGGTGCCAGGCTGGCTGTGCATTCCTGACCGGCTCCGTTCCCAGGGCGGGTATTGGGTGCTGGCCGCTGGGGGGAGCTTATCCGGGACCGGGAGCTGGGGTGGGGGGGCCCTCGGCTCTCCCCCCAACGTTTGTCTGGGCTTCCTCTCAGCCTGGTAAGTGTGTTCCAAATAGGACTGCTCCGAGTGCAAATGTTCCAAAAGGAAGGACGCAGAAGCTGACAGTCTTCTTTTCTTTTTAAATATATTTTATTGATGATGCTATTACAGTTGTCCCATTCCCCCCCCCCTTGATTCCCCTCTGCCCTGCACACCCCCTCCCACCCACATTCCCCACCTTTAGTTCATGTCCGTGGGTCATACTTATAAGTTCTTTAGCTTCTGCATTTCCCATACTATTCTTGCCCTCCCCCTGTCTATTTCCCCCTACCATCTATGCTACTTATTCTCTGTGCCTTTCCCCGCTCTCTCTCCTCCTCCCACTCCCCTGTTGCTAACCCTCCATGTGATCTCCATTTCTGTGGGTCTGTTCCTGTTCTAGTTGTTTGCTTAGTTTGCTTTTGTTTTTGTTTTACCTGTGGTTGTTAATAACTGTGAGTTTGCTGTCATTTTACTATACATGTTTTTTATCTTCTTTCTTAGGAACTAATCTTGGATGCCCTGGATTTGGCACAAATTAAACGGTGCACTCGCTGCCTAAAATCCCAGGGCGGCTTCCCAAGGCCCTTGAGGTAAAACGCAACATCTGTGACTGGCTCCTCCCACCGAGGGTGCTCCCCGCCCCCCCCCCACCCCGGCCCCAGGGCACACTGCCTCCACGGAAGGCCGCCTACTGGCCTGCCTTCCCTTCCTGGGGTCCTCCGGCTTCCGCCCAGCCGCAGACGGAGCTGACGGTCTGGTGACCACTGGGATGGACGTGGGTCAGTCATATCCCACAAACACAGGTAAAGCTGGCCCTTGTTCTGTGCGCGAGAGGGCCACAGGGCCCCCCGAGCCAGCGAGAAGGGCATTTAACTAACTCCTCAGAGAGGCCAGCGCATGATGTCTAGAGCAAGTCACCCTTGAACAGGGACCTGAGGGATGAGCGGGAGCTTGCGGAGCAGGGAAAAGACAGCAGGAGGGAGGAACAGCGTGTGCAAAGCCCCCGAGGCAGCGGCAGCGGAAGCCGGCCTGGCGGAGGGAGGAGGGGAGGAGTCAGCAGGAGTCGGGTCCAGCCAGGGCTGCAACCCAAGCTAAGGAGCCGGATTCTATTCTGGGCACAGGGAGAAGCTCCCGGAGGGGCTCAGGCAAGAGACTGGCTGGTGAGGTTTGCGGTCTGAGATGACGCTGGCCGCGGCGTTGATGTCGCGAATACCTTCTCCCAACACCACAGCAGTTGTAGCGCCCGAAATCGAGAGAGAGAGAGAGAGAGAGAGAGAGAGAGAGAGAGAGAGAGGCCGGCAAGAATGCGGGGGAGACCCACGACTGTCAGAGGGAGAGACAGCGGCGGCCGGACCAGGGACGAGGGACGTGAGGGAGACCGAACAGTTTGCGAGTGTGTTGAGACGCGTGCGTGGCCCAGGCCCAGCTGTGCTGCTGCTTCCTCCCCCGAAGATGCCGCTCACAGAGGATCCAGGAGCCCGCGCGCCCTACGGGCTGCTGGCTGAGGGCGTCTGGGGTCTGCTTCTCCGTTTGGTGGCGTGGACTGAGCGACGTTACATGTGCACATCTGTGTGCTCTGACAGCACCCGAAGGCAAGGAGGGCCCAGGCGTCAGGGTCACGAGAACCTGCCATCACCTCTCGCTTACTTTCACAAAACAGCAGCAAAGGGGGGGCTGGTTGCATAAAAGGGCGTATGATTATGGCATCGATGTTCCCGGACTCAGACGCCTGTTCCACTGCCTCACTTATTGGCTTTGTGGAACATTCCAGAACCTCTCTCAACTTCTATGTCCTCGTGTGTAACACGGGAGCGATCATGACAGCCACCGCTGGAGTGTTCGCAGGCCAGGTCAACCCCCCTTCTGCCCCTCCCGCTTCCAGAGCTGAGAGATGAGACCGGCGCCAGACGGGTAGAGATCAAAACGTCGTGCTGGAGGCTGACAAAGCCAGCCCGAGGATGTGGCTGGGGTGCGAAGGCTCGTGCCGTCACTGGCACGGTGACAAACCACAGGCAGCAGAGAACACACACCCGGGCCCCCGGCGGGCGGGCGGGGGTCCGACCCAGCCCTGAGCCCTGAGCCTTCTCGGAAAGTCACAGGGGGTGGGGCCAGGTCACAAGTCCCCCTCCTGCCCTGGGGACTCAGGGCCTGGGGAGCAGCTGGCTGAGCTCCTGCAGGCGCAGTGCTGGGGTCGGAGTAGCAAACCTTCTGCCCCCGTGAACACAGGAGAAGAGGGAGGGTGTGGCTCTCTCCACACCGTCTCACGGGTGGTTGTGGAGAGCGGAGAACAAACAGGTACAGGGTCCGGCACGCAGACCCCGCAGAGGTCTGGGGGAGGACCGGGAGAAGCCGGGGAATGGGGAGTCTGAGGCTGACAGGCGAACACCCTGGCCCCCCGGGTTAGTGCCTGGCAGGGGGCAAAACCGGGAACACAAGGGCCTCGCCCACAGGGCGCCCTCTCCTCCCCTGGCCTTTCCTCCCCGGAGATAACATCTACGCCTGCTGGTGTCATGGCTCCAGGCCCAGCAAAGCAGCAAAACCCGGTGGGCAACTCCAGGATCCATTGCAATGAGGAAGGACCCTCACCCTCCCTACCCCCGGCCAGTCCGCGGGGACCAGGACCTGGTAAGTTCCGCTGACACCCTCCCCAAGCCCTGCCCTGAGACCCGCCTGCCTGCAAGGGACAGAGGACAGCCTCAAGTCAAAGGACCCGGGGCGCATGCCCTGCTCTGGGGAGCAGCCTGAGCCACCCCCCATTTCCCTTTCCCTTCTCCTCCCCCACTTCTTCCCTCACAGGCACGCGTCCCCTCCACGCTGAGGCAGTGGGCCGCCGGCAGCGTGCCCCGGGCGGGTCCCCTGAATCCTCCTCCTCTGCGACCTCCCGGCGAGCTGAGGCAGCCCGGCCCAGGCCCTCCTTGGCTTTTCCCTGCGCTCAGCCTTTTCTCGCCCACTCTCCGGAGGCCCATACTCTCCCTCGAGGATGTACTGATAAAGCTCTTACTCATCCGCTCCCAGCCCTCCCATCCGTAATTCTTCGCTGCGTCGTCGGGGAAGCAGAGCCGCACTTCCAATCAGAGACTCATCCCCGGCATCGGCCAGCCGGGGCTGCAAGACCGGTCCACTGAGGGAAGTTGTGGTTGAGAAACCGCATGAAGCAAGGGAGTTTCTTAAAAGGGGATTTCTCTATTTCCCCTTCTTTCCTTGTTCCCTATACTCAGGAAATCTTGAGAGTTTCCTAAAGGGAAACGCTGACCAAATAGGCGCTGGCAAGTCTTCTAGCAGGAGGGGAAAAAAAAAAACAAACCCCAAAGCTGAATCTCTCTGTGAACAGCGTCCAGGGCCCGCTCTCTTTCTGGGTGTGTGCAGACACTACTTGGTTTTAGGGTGGGGTTTGGGGGTGCCGTTGTGTGCCTCTCAAGGGAGCCTCTCCTCCCGGCTCACGATGAAGCAATTAAGAATCACTGGCAGGGAAGTGACTGGAAGCAAAGGGGAACCGTTCTGGGGAAAGTCCTGCCTGATCACACAACCCTCAGCCACTCCATTTAAGGTGAGCACTGCGGGAAGGCAGGAAGCAACCCCTGGAGTGGACTCCAGGCCCAGGCGCACGCTATCCGCAAGGCCACACTGACCAGGAGCTGTCCCAGGGAGCCTCAGGTGGCCTGCCTGGGGGAGGGAGGCTGCAGGTGGTGTAGACACCCCCCCCCCCCCCGGAAAAGCCCAGGGGAGCAGGAAGCTATTGGTATTCGGCGACAGCGGCTCTCTTCCCTGTGCTGAGTCATCTCGCAGTGGGGCACCGGGGGACCACACCTGCCTGAATTTCTGAGGCCTCCGGAAAACCCCAGCAGCCCTCATCCCTGGGAGCTTTTACCTTGGGTAATCCCTCCTCCCCCTCCCCCTCGGCATTTCCAACAGCTCCACCTTCCCAACCTCTCTTTCTCCTCCAAGGGCAATCTTCACAGATGGGGGGCCCACAAGTTCAGTGTGGTTGCATCATCCACGCAAAGCTTTTCCACGGCAATGGAGCCTTAAGTGTATTGCTAATTTAGCGATAATAATAGCTAATGTTTAGTAATCACTTACTGTGTCCAGGTATTGTTGACTGACTGTGAAGTCAATCAGGAGACTTCAGCTAGAAACATCACAAAGATTTGCCCAGGGGCCACCCTGGCTGGTGTGGCTCAGTGGATTGAGCGCTGGCCTGCAAACCCCAAGGCTGCCGGTTTAATTCCCAGCCAGGGCAGATGCCTGGGTTTGGGGCCAGGTCCCCAGTTGGGGGTGCACAAGGGGCAACAGGTATCCCTTACACACATCAATGTTTTTCTCCCTCCCTTGCTCTCTCTCTAAAAACAAATAAATAAAATCTTTAAAAAAACACAAATTTGTTCAAAGGTCTTCTAGTCTGCAGACCGGAAACACAACCAGGCGGTACCAGAGGGTCCCAAAGAAGAGAGACAAGCCGAGGGTCCTGACAGTAAACACAGAAAAATCAGTCTGGTGCTTCAGCTTCTGGGTTGGTCTGAGGCGGGGACCCTCTAGAGGACTGGGGGTCTAAATCACCAACACTCTTTTTCTAGACCCGCTGGGGTAATGGGAGGGTTGCCTGGGGGTTTGATGTGTATCCGGGCATGGACACGGGACCGGAAAGTTCAGGCACGTAAGTTTCGGAGCTAGTTAAAACAAGAATAGAATTGTTCCTCAACCTACTTGATGTTGGCAATCTCACTGCCTGACTCTTTTATTTCTTCACTCTCTTCCTCAGTACTGTATTATTTCCCACAGCCATAGGAAGTGCTTTTGTTAACCACATTACGCAGACAAGGAATTAAGACACAGAGAAGTGAACTCCCTGGTCCCCGACGATCTACCATACCTACAACATGCAGCCCAGAGATAGGACATCGATCCTTTATCTTCCACAATCTGTTTCCACGGACTCAAAGGATGTTAAGATCTTGGAAAGACTTGAGAGACAGTGCAGTGCACCCTTGATTTTACGGCCAGATAAACAGCCCTGCGGGGGGGGGGGGGTGCACGTGTCCAAGTCCCTCGGGAAAACCATGGATGAGCCCCTCACCCCAGTGTCTGAACCTCTCCCACAGCACATCCTCCTCCTTCGCTCCCAGAGGACACAGCTTTCCCGGATTTTTCTTAACCCTTTGTTTTTCAGTTCTCCATACTTATCATTCCCATTTTCCCTTTCCTGTTACCATTTTTAGTAAAAACAAACATCAACAACAACAACAAAAACAGAGGAAAGGGAAAGGAAAGAGAGAAGGAGGACCCTGACTGGTGTGGCTCAGGGGGCTTAAGCACTGGCCTGTGAACTGAAAGGTTGCCGGTTCGATTCCCAGCCAGGGCACCAGGGTACATCCCTGGGTTGTGGACCAGGTCCCCTGCTGGGGGCATGTGAAAGGCAATTGATTGTTTCTTTTGCACATTGGTGTTTCTCTCCCTCTCCTTCTCTCTCCCCTCTCTCCTCTCTCTAAAAAAAGAGTAAAATAAATCTTTAAAGAAAGAGGGAAAGAGGGAGATGGGCAGAGGGGGAGAGAGAGACCAAAAGGTTGGGATGGAGGCACCGTTGATGGTGACAGGTTAGACCTCAGTTCCTGGAGTTCAGGAGAATTCCGGGCCAAGAAATCGGGTGCAAGGAGTTTACTTAGAAAGTCACAGAGGTGAAAAAGTTAGCTGGCTGGGCTCCACGGACTCAGGAAACAAGTTACAGGGGCCAAAGGAGGGCCCTGGCAGCTGAGGAGAAAGCAAGCACAGGATCCGCACCTAAGAAAAGAAGAGGGTGGGGGCCGTGGCGGACTAAAGGCGCCAGCGTGCTTGAGAGGGACACAGAGAAAACCATGTATGTCCCTTGCCTTAAGGATTTCAAATCTGTATTTTAGAGGTGGGGATTTTAGGGGAGAATCTCAACAGAACAGTCATCAGCTTTCCAGGTGTGTCCTTTCAGGGTCCTGGTCGCCACTGATTGGTCGCGCCAGGGGGTCATTAGTCATCGAAGCTGGTCCTCGCGTCAGCCACGGCGCCGTTTTATCTGGTCTTGCAGCTTTCCTGCGCCTGGAGCTGAAACACAACCGCGGCCTAGATGTTATCTTCAGTCCGACCAAAAGTCTGTCTCTGTGGTCAGCAGACCGGAAGCCCTGTTCCTAAGATTACGTGATGCTGATCAGATGCTACTGTCTCGAAGGCTGAAGGCGGAAAGGGAGGGGTCCCGCAAGAGGGGTCGTAGGTGGCTGTTCCCGCCCCCTGGTTTTCCGCGGAGGGGGTCTAAGCCGCCTGAGTGCGCCAGGCTACGGGAGGGAAAGTCGCCCTGCGGGGAGGATCCTAGCCTCGAACACTTGTTTTCCCAGTTTTGCCCACTGCTAGACACCAGGGACTTTCCGCCCGGGTGACATTCCGTTCTCGGCCCGTCGTTCCTGCTCTGCTCACGCCTGCCTGCCTCCGCTGTCCGAACTCCCCGCCTAACAATGGACGAGAAGGTGGACCCCGCAGCCCCCGGAGCCCCGGGGGCGAGCTCAAGCCGTCAGAAAGCCAGCCGAACCCCTCGCCGGGCGCTGGGCCGGCCCCGCCTCCCGGCTCTGAGCCCCGGTTCCCCACCAGTGACGCCAGAAGTCGCCAGCCACCGGGCCGCCCGGAAGCGCCGCGCCTCCCCACGGAAGGCCGCCCAAGCCCCTCCCGAGCCGACGCCTTGCCCTCAACAAACATGGCGGCGGCGCGTGACGTCGCCTTCCGTCGCCTCCGCCCGGTCCCCGCCCCCAGCGGGCGGGGCGCATGCGCGGCGGCGGGGCCCGGCCCGCGGCGACGGCGACGGAGGGGCGGAGGGCTGCCCTGCCCGCAGTTGCCGAGCCGCGGCGGCCGAGGCGGGATGGTGTAGCCGGGCCTGCGGGCGGGCGGCGGGGCGCGGGCGGGGGCGAGGCGGACGCCTCCTGACGGGCTCGGGGCCAGCGGCCGCACGCTGAGGGGGCGTCGCCGCCGCCGGCCCCCGGCGCCGCCGCGGGAGGCCGCGCCCGCCATGGCGGCCCGGCGGGTGCTGGACGAGTTCACGGCGCCCGCCGAGAAGGCGGCGCTGCTGGAGCAGAGCCGCGGCCGCATCGAGGACCTGTTCGGCGTGAGCCTGGCGGTGCTGGGCGCGCTCGGGGCCGAGGAGCCGCTGCCCGCGCGCATCTGGCTGCAGCTCCGCGGGGAGCAGGAGGCGGTGCACAGCGCGAAGGTGAGTCTCGCCGCCGCCCCCGCCCGCCCGCCCGCTCGGCCCGCGGCCTCCGCTCGGCCCCGGGCCCGGGGCGCCCCCACCCCCTCCCGCCCCTCCCCGCGCGCGGTGGGGAAAGCGCAGCCCCCAGAGCCCGCGGACCTGCGTGCGCCGCTCTCGAGCCACGTGACCCCGGGCTAGCGGTTTAACCCCGGGGCGTCTCAGTATCCCCGTTTGTAAGGGGCACTGGCGGAAGCAGCTCCCTTGCCGGACCGTCTCCCAGAGCACAGCACCGCGGCCCGCCCGCCCGCCCGCCCGCAGCGAGCGCGCCGCGAATGTCGCCTGTTGTTAGCATCCGTCCGACCTGGCGGTGGCGCGCGGGGCTGGGAGCTGGGCCCGGGCCTCCGCTCCAGGGGTGCGGAGCCTTTAGGGGGCTTCAGTCCCTTTGGGAACCTGACGGCAGGACCGTCCAGGAGAGGTGGGATGTTTAATAACGGTGTTGGAAAGAGCATCGCTCCTTGTGTTGCTGTTCTGTGCAGGTCACGTCTTTGTTCGTGGTCATGGCACATCTGACGTTGCGGTCCGTACTCGGGAGTAGCTAACGAACGCAGAGCTCTGTGCAGTGGGATAGATTTTGCTCTCCACGCTTCCTTCTCTCTTTACATTAACAGCTGGGGAAACCGAAACTTTTGAGGAGGTGACTCACCTTCTCTCTAGATCAGCATTTTATCTTATACATCCTGGAGCCCTTCGTCTACTCCTCCCCCTTCCCTCCCCAAACCAGAAAGCAGCAAGAGCCCCCCACCCCCGCGGCCCCCCGGATCCCGGTCCCCTGGTTTCTCCAGGTTTCTCCAGAGAGCAGGTGCGGCAGCCAGGTGTTTCCAGAGCTCTAGCTCCCAAATGATGGGCCCTGGGGGAGGCGGCCGTCGTGGGGGGACCCTCCCTCGGTGGCGTCTTGCTTCAAGAATGTGGTGCCCAGGGAGACTGCAGCCGTAGCTGCCGGCTGGAGGCTTGCTTTCAGCGCGTGCACGGGAGACGGGGCACTGGCCTGTGAGGTTCTTCCCCACAGCTTCGCCTAAAAACCGTGTGGGTGTTGGGTCGGGTTTGCTTTCCTGGTCCTAATTCTTTTACACCGTTTGTCTGCTTTGGACAACTGCTCCGGCTCCTCCCCTATCCTCAGGCGCGACAGGCTGGCCTGGCGTCCTACGATTGTTCCCCGGGCCGTCTCTGCCCCCATTAACTGCTCCCCCTTTCCCCTGTCTTTGCTAGTGGGACCTGCATTCCGGGTGTGCGCCCGCCCACCTCCCTTCGCTCCTCTCCTCCCCTCCCCCCCGCGGTACCACTTGGTACCACTTGCAGTACCTTTTGCTTTAGACTAATCCTCAGAAAGTCACTTCCCGCCCTGGGGCCTCCTGTTGCCTCTTTTCACTGGAAACTCCTCCTGGGTTTACAGAAGGGGGCGTTGGCCCGCCCCCACCTAGCTTCCCGATCCTCCGGTTGGGCCTCCGCGCGGCTGCCTGTCTTGCTTCGCCCGCTCCCAGTTCACCCTCGCTCGGGACTCACCCCACGCACGGGAAGCGCTTCTGTTACCCGATGTAAAAAAAAAAAAAAACAACGCCTGTCTCGCCAGACCCTCCCCCTCCGCGGGTCCCTGCCCCACGTTTAGCATGAGCTGATTGGAAAAGGTGTGTCCCGCAGTATCTCGGGGGTGTGTCACCTACCCGGCTGTCTGTCGTGTGTTACTCACAACCCAGCCCGCCCCACTTGTGAGAAATTCCTTTTTCCCCCCTTAAGACTCGAGTAAGCCTTGAATACCACACTCAAGGGCTTTTTGTTAATTCGTTTTGGAGCTTGTTTTACATTCTTTCGAGAAAGAGAACACCATTAACTTCACTCTTAAAATTCAGAACAACAAAGCAGACTTCAGCATCTGAAAGGCATGGAGTTGCGCTGTGGAGGGGTTTAGAGGAAGGGTCAGAGGAAAGACTGTTAAAGCAGTGGTTGGTTGAGTGGGACTCGAATAAGACAGCATCCCCTGTCTTGGGTCCTGTCTGGCGGTTTACTCTGTGTCCTTGCTTTCACACTGAACTCACCGCCTCCTGCCAAAGGCTGGAGGAGCACATGGAGCCATAGTTAGTGCGGCTGCGTGGACTGGAGAGGGGG